GCCTCGGGGTTGTGTGGTGGAGAGTGGGAGCTGACTGGGAAGGGGGCTCCCGGGGCGGAGAGGGGGTGAGATCTCAAATAATGGAGTTTGGGAAATACAAATCTTGGGGCACAGTCTGCTTGAGTGTGACTGTCGAACGCAGTGTCGGGGATTTCTGTTCCCGCTCTAAGTGTGCGTTCCCCATCGGTATGTCTGGCAGCTGCGCGCTTTCTGCAGTCCCCCGGAACACACATCAACACGCCTGGGGTTGTCGCACAGCTGCTTTTCTCCAAATAGCACCTCTTGTTCCATCTGCAGATTTTGTCTGCGTAGAAAGAAAAACACATCCGTTTGTCCCGGATTTTTCCCCTACCTGACAGCTGTGGTCAGGCTCCTGGCCGTACCGAGTTCCTGGGCAAACGGCCACTGACCCCAACATCAGCTGTGTGGAGTAAGCGGCTGGTGCGCACTGCGAGTCCCGCGAGCTCCTTGCTTCCTCTGTTCAGAAAGTGCCACAGATGTAGCACATTTGCAAGTGCACCCACAGTTATTTTATGTATATTCAATACGTCCAGAGCACGCTGGAGTCATTGTGCAGCTAATATAGGCCGCTCTAGACATGCCTGGCAGTGCTTCCAAACCATTTTGTATTTGCAAAGTTACACCAAGTTTGTGTTTTAAACAATATTGATCTTAATGATTTTAAACAATATTGATCTTAATGATGTTGGGCACAATAACTCATGTAGTAAAACCATTTTTTGCTGATAGACATTTTACTTTTTATCAACCACTAATAACTGAGATCCATAATCCTTATGTTACTAGGTTTCATTGCTTTTGCAAATTACAGCACATCAGTAATATACTCTGAAAATCAAAATTGTGTCTACATTTTTCAAAATTAAATGTACGAGCGGAGTTTTCTGGATGCATAATTTTAAAACGTCATGTGCATAAGGTAAAGTTGCGTAAAATAAAGTTCCAACCGTATTGCAAGGTAAGCAGTTTTCTTGTTGACCACCTGTACTGTGTTGGCTGACCTGAGTGAGAAGCCCATTCTCCAGTCAACAGACATTGTTTTTTCAAGTAATGAAAAATTACATGAAAAGAAAATTAGCATAAGTGTAACATAATTGTTGGAGTGTTTTTGTCAATTTAAAATAGAGGCTGCTAATGTAATATCTCTTTATCTCTCTTGGACTGCGTTATAGTTTGCAAGGTGCTGTGATGTATGTATCAATTTTGGTGTGCATATTAATTTAGATACTGACTATGCATATGTTATAATGTAATGAATCTATAATTATGCAGTGTATTACGCTGACAAATGTACTGTATACTGTCAGGCAGTAGAACACCAGCTGAAGATCTGTGGCGTTAAGAGGAATGTGGATGTCTCAGTATTGTATCTGGCTGGACAGTAAGTAAAATATGTTTCTCTGGCTTTTACTAGAAGTAGGCTGGACAGTAAGTAAAATATGTTTCTCTGTTTGGCTTTTACTAGAAGTACAGAACACAGTAAATGGTAACCTTTCATAGTGCTTTCTGTATCAGATACTCTCTGAACATCATATATATGTGAAATACCAGTAAATCATATTTCTACCTAGTCCATACATGTTGTGTAGGAAGAAATGGTGAAGATACACTGACACACATAGCAGAGCTATACTCACAGTGAAGTAGTTAACTGCCTCAGCCCTAGATATACAATCCTTCTCCAGCAACCCAGAATTGCTTGAGGGTCTGTAAGTTCACAGACTTGGGCATGAACTTCTACCACAGGGAGCAGAGGAGTGAGGCTTAATGGGCTGATCTCTGCCTGTTCTAACTGGCTTGTAAGGGTGGGTGGAAAGAGTATCAAGAAGGCAAATGAAAAAACACAGGACCTGCCCAGTCTAAGAACTGCCAAATTTCTGACCTCCCTGAAGAAATCTGTTATTGCAACAGTAAAACTCATTGGTAGCACCTTTGAAATTACCTGCATCTCTACTATTAAGAATTGAAGGGAGGGCAGGGCAACATGAAGTGAGTAGAAGTACAGGAACACTTGCTTGGGGCTGGCAGTATTGATCAGAGAACTGATTTCCTCCGAGAGCTTTGTGAAACACCTTAAGATGCAGGGCAGATGAGGAGAAGAAACCATGCTAAGTGAAGGAAGGCAAAGCTTCCATGAACCTGTGGGTGATAAAGGTTGATAGAGGTGTATGTTGTAGGATGAACATGCTGAGAGGCTATCATAGAAAGGTGGATACGTGACAGGACATACTTCAAAGTTTTTGGAAAGCATACGTTGAATTTCTGGCCAGGGCATAATTCCAAGTGTTGCGTACCTGTCTGCAGCCTCACAACTGCATCTAGTGTTTGTACGATTGATATCATATATAAAGAACTAATGTAGTTTAATAATTCAGGGACAAGGTTTTCAAGGTCTCTAGGTCCTATGAATGCAAAAAAAAAGGTGATAAGGGATTTCAGTGTTGTCTAGCCTGTTTTCAGTAGAAATCGGGTGGTCTTGAAAATCTAAATGTGCCCGCTAGTATCTTTAAATTCCTTAGCACATCTTCTGATTTACATCAAGCAAGTTTTTGATGCTTTGTGAAAAGAAAATGTAAAACATATAATTACTGTCAAAATTATTAGAATGTGTATTTTAGAAAGAAGCAAACATACATAAAATCTAAGGGAGAAGTTTAAATAATGAGAAAATTACAAGATGCATATATATATTTTCTAGACAGTCCAAGAAAATTGTTACAATGCGTATGTGTAAAAGAATTAAGACTGTGTAGACAGTCTTAATAGGCACATTTTCTGATTTTAAATACTTAAATGTGTGCCCTCCGCTGGCTTTGAAATATTTTTTGGTATGGAATAAAAAGAAATGTTCAGATGGCAGATATAGAAGTGATCTGTCTTCTCATGAAACGATTTTGAGAAAGATGATGCAAGCTGGCTTCTTTGATGATTGGAGAGGAGTGAATTCCTTTTATTCTATACTGATTTATATAAACCTTGAACATCAGCCAATCTCAGTATCAGATCATGCCTCCTTAACTGTTGGTTTGACATAATTTTCTGCTGGCTGAAATAAGAAAATGAAAAAATAATAATTAAAGTCAATCAAATAAGAGGGAATGAGTTTTTATTTTTAAACCACTACTATTAAAAGGACATGAAAAAATGTACTTTTGGACACTGAAAGCTGTCATCCTAGGAAAACTGATTAACTTAGAGGTAGGTAGGAAAAGAGTGCTGCAGGCCAAAAAGGATCAGTTTGTAAGAAACATGCAAAGTCTGGAAGGCATACAGAAGGGGACAGGCTCTTTTAAAATGTTAGAGGAATTAAGCTCTACCTGGGGCAAATTAAATGCCTTAATACCAAAAAAAAAACCAACCAGATCAAGGCTTGGAGATAGTCAAGATGAGGCTGTTACTAGAGAGGGAGTAAAGCCAATTAAAATGTCGATCTGTAAACTAGGTATAGAACGGCAGTGACAAAGAATATGAGGAAATTTTGGCTTTGCTACCTGAAAAATAGTTCAGGGGTGTACACGTAGAACTACACAGAAGAATTAGATAGTAGCTCTGTTAAGAGCTCCGTATGTCCTGTCAATACTCATCTGCTTGTCTTTACTACTTGCAGTAATGTATTTTCTGATTACTTGTGACAATAGACACATAAATACGTATTTGCAGGGTTTGTTTTTGTGGATTATTTGAGGAAGCCAAATAATTTAACAAAATAGCAGCATGGGATAATCTGATTTTCAGACATAGAGAAGAATAAAAGTACAGCACCTCAACTTTGTAAGGTTTGCTCTTGACAGATTTTTTTTTTTTTCAAATGTAAGATCAGAAAAGGTGTGCACTCCCCCCTTGTCTGTATCTGGAGGGTTCGTTGGAAAAAAAACCCCACAACATGGGAAACTAGAGAATAGGCTTCACAGTTGGAAAACAGGCAGATCATTTTAGGCTGATGATGTGAGGTTAATTTTTAGCAATCCTCTTAGTTCTTTCTGAAACACTGGCCCTAGTCTTGCAACATGTTAAAGTCCATGAGGAAAGTTTTATTAAGTCAATTAAAATTTGTCATCTAAAGGTCATCTGTAATTATTCTAGAGGAAATCAAGAACATGGATTAAAGCAATGAAAAATAAGGAGGAGCAATTAGTGAAACTAATATTCTCTGGTTAGTAGGTAATTTGTTATTTATAGTACACTAGCAAGCTCAAAGTGCTAGATACACAATTAAACAAAAACCCCTACCAGCACATAGGAGATAGTTCCAGCCTCAGTGGATGTGCAGTTTTATTTAAAACAAGACTGTTAATGAATATGAGTAAATACTAAGTTTATACGAGGACAGGAGAGAAGAGGGGTGAAAAAAGGGCTAAAGATTTCACAATATGCACTAATACGAAAAATAGAAGTGTACATTGACGTGCTTGGCGTCTGTCTTCTCTTGGCTTCTCTGGCACTGTGGCTGGACAATCCACACTGCACCTTCAAAGCAATTTTCCTTTTAGGTTTGTGCCCCCAGGATGCCAAACTTCTCCTCCTGTGTTCTGAGCAGTTTCTACAAACTGACTCATACTCCCTGGGAAAATAAATGCTGTTATGGAAAAAAAAAATTAATTTATCACTTTGTTCCCATTTCTTTACCACCTGCTGCTTTGTTATGCTTTCAGGCGTGTAGAATGCTTACACTGTCTCTGCCATCTTGTTCTTTGCATCTTTCTCTGCTATGATTTCTACAGAAGTGTGGCTTTTTAGTGCTTGTATAATATTATTTATAAAAAATTCAACTGTTTATAAAGTGATTAAGCACCATTAATGTTAAGAAATTTGTCACTCTTTTTTTCTTCCACCAGAGGACTAAGAAGTATCCCAAGTCTATCACAGTTTCACAGGTTAAGGTATTTGTGGATTAACAACAATAAGGTAATAAGGTATTCCTTTAAAGAGCAGAACAATGCATCTATACTCCCTGATTATTATTTTGTAATTTTTCTAACATAAAGTATTATATAATTGTCAAGCTAATGAATTATTTTTAATTTCCAGCAGATTTAACTGATATAAATATGACAGTTTTGAAGAAACAGTATTTTGTTTCACATTACAGAGTATAAGCTGATATATTTTCCTTTAGATTCACATGACAGTTATAAATTTTGTGTATTTTAGAAGCTGACATTTTGTGCTAATACCTTAGCAATAAAAAGGAAGATTGAGTATATTTAGAACTAAGTTATTGGCAAAATTGCCTGATAGCATTTTGATACCCGAGGTCTGGGATAGCAGTTTCCAGTGTAGCTCATAGCGAGTGTACCCCGCCCACCAGAGCGGGCAGCTCTTGGAACAGACTGAGGGGTGATATGGCTGTAAGGTATTCTTATCACAACTTCTGGGCTTCCTAGTTTTTCAGGAAAGGAGTGGACTGCAGGAAATGCGTAGCTCTTTTTTTATGCCCTTGCAGACATGCATAGTTTATTTCCTGGCAGGCTGGTGGTTGAGGTGAGACTCCTTTTTGCCCTCATGCACACAAGAGTGACATATAACTCTTTCAAATGTGCTTCTCCCTGTGCACAGGAAGTAGCACTGCAATGCTACTCAGTAGCATCAGCATCAGTAGGGCTGATGGGGTACCTTCTGCCATTGTACAGGCCGTTGTGTCACCTAAACTTGTTCGATTTAAGAGAGATTTCCAGGCGAGTGATTAGAGTATGACATTGAGCCGCATTAATTTCTCTTGTATCCAGTGTGCTGTATGGTCCTAAATCAGTTACACAAACCACGTGCTTTACTTTCTCCATCTGTGCAAATCTAGATTATAGTATTTATTATATCCTGTAGGGGTTTTAAGACAATGCTCTGTCAAAATCTCTGGACACTATGGTTTCCAGCCAAGTCTAAGCACATTGTATCTTACACAAAGTCATCTACTTGACAGTAGAATTATCTGATTTAGAAATCCCCACATACATAGCCAACCATTATTAAATGGTTGAATTGAATCCAAACCTTCACCATTAGCCAGATAATTAAAAAGCAAGAGAAGTGATAAACCCCACAGATTTCTAATCTGCTTTTAAATTTCTTACTGTATGGTAGTTTACATGACTTTCACAGTGGGCTCAGGTTCTTAAAACACCAGAATTGCTTGCTCAGGTAAATAAGTAGCTCTGTGATCAGCAGAAAAAATAAATTTACATTCCATGTCACTTAGGAGTGTATGTATATCTGCTGCCCCAGGCTAACATCAATTATAGAGCATCTTATGTTGACTTCATTGAAAGACCTGTGGTTATCCAGCTATTTTCAAAAAAAAGCAAAAGTATGGATGCATTAAAGGTTGAACTAAAATCGCAGGTATAATAAGGCTTTCCCTTGTATTTCTAAAGGACACTAAAGAATAAGAGGAAATGGCCTGATGACCAAGTGGAACGGATCTGGCTGACCATAAAAGATAAATAAATCTGATTTTTGCACAGATCTCACTTTCCTAACTAAGCAGTAACAAAAAGCATTCTTCTGTTGTTCTATACAAGTTGTGTGGAAATGTCATTTTCTATATAACTTGTGGGGAGAAGCCACTCAGTGGCTTTTCTTAGGAGAAGTCTCAGGTAAATGCTTTAATAAGGGGAGCGTATTTTTCTGAACTCAGAAGATCTGAGATCTTTTTTTCTTTCCTTAAAAATGCATCACAATAATTTTATCACAAAAAAGTAAATTTCAGATGATCCTAAAACAACCGAACTTGTCAAAGATAGAGAAACACCACTATATACAATAGGTATGTGTGGGCTTTACACTATACAAGATACAATAATCATTGTGAAGAGTAGGATTTTTTTATTTGTACAATATTGCTGTTTTCACTGAACCAGGCTTTTCTGAGGTGGAGCAAGACTCAGAGAATGGTATTATTTTCAACTTTAAAGTATCTTTTCTCAGAGGATTTTAGAGAACTTTAGGAATGGAAAAACCTGTGTCTTATTCTCCTCCTTCCAACTTTCAGATACTGTTAATACACAGAGCAAAGCACATTTGTTTTAAAATCAGTGGCACAATTCAAGGACTGAAATCATTCCCCCACTAACAAATGACTTTGCATCACAGAAGTCAAAGTAGTGTCAGGAATAAAATTCTGTTTGTTGTTCTTGCATTTAAACTGTAGGATAAATACTTAGGCACCATTAGTACTCCCAGTTCTCAACTGTTACAGTGGTCAGCTTGGTATCCCATTGCATATACTTTACCTTGCATTGAAGTCAAGACAATATTAGAACTGAGCTCCTCCAAGCAAGGGGATGAGATTTTTTCATAGGGACCGAAGATAACTCTTTATTGGGAATATACCCATACATACATTTTTCTTCTGTAATTGTAATTGATTCTGTAAATCTGATTAAATGTCATTTTTGGAAATTTAGAACAGATATGTGCTCTTTGGACCTGCTGATGAAGAAATAATTTTAAAACTAGATGCTGGGCTTATTCCAAGGATATATTTCAGGAGTATTCTTAAATCAACATAGAATTATTACATCCTGTGAGGATGTTCTCACAGTAAAAAATATTTCAAATGTGAATAGAAGTAAAAGAAAATGTGAAGACCAGTAATTCAATGAAATCTGTTAAATTTTAATATTGAAATATTGTATTTGTAGTTCAAAAAATTAGGTAAGGCTGTGCGACGTGTATTTGATGTGTAATTAGTATTTCTAAAGAAGGTTCAGCTGTCAAGAGAATATGTAAACCAAGAGTCTTAAACAGAAATATAAGAAACTACCTATATTTAAACAGTTTTCAAGAGGCCATATTTATACTTCTCCAAAGTTAAATTTAGACTGACATGTAACAGTTTTCCTAACTCTAATTTCAGATCCAGGATTTAACTTTCTTGATCAAAAACTATTGCTTGACTGAACTCTATCTCAACAATAATGAGCTGACAGATATATCAGGTACCAATCTTCCCTTTTTAGGTTGTTGAGCAGAGGCCTATACTTTCTTTTCTGTGTATTGGCATTCAAATTTATAAAAGTGAATGACAGCAGGTAACTTAATGGTTGAAGGCTTCTATGTATGCATAACAATACATGGTAATTATTTTCTTAGAGATTTGATTGTTCCAGCATACTTGAGTGGCAATAAGGTGATATGTTTATCCTGTCATTCACTTTAATGTCAGGCAATTGTAAAATATTTTTGATCTTACATGAGCGTATTTCATATTGAAAATGAACATGCAGAGCTCTTTTTACATGATGATTTGTAGTCCTGTTGCTGACCAGGTACTCCGTAAGCTGATAGAAGTACCTTTTGAGAGCTATTTATGTTTACGTGATGAAAAACTAATAGTAGTGCTGACAGACTTAATATGAAAATAAAAGGGTAACAAATTAATAAGTTGTCCCACTTGTAAGGTAGTCACTAAGGTTCTGCAGTTTCTTCATGATATAGTTACATTTATAATCAGAAGTATTTTACAAAGTTACTGCAAAACTGTTTTATTGTAAAATTGCATGTCTTACACTTCTATTTCATTGTGCTTGCTCTTGTGGATTAAAGTGGCTGTACCAGACTAGTGAATTCATGAATGAAGAGGCCAAAGCATAATAAATTTGTGTATATTTTAGACATTTTAAATGTTAATATTTTACTTCTCTCTTTCCCTATAAAATGTTGGGATGAGAAATGATGTTGATTAGTTTCTGTGAGATTTTCAGAAAAATTAATGTTTGAAAGAAAGAAACACAGGGACACAAGAGACAATACAGAAGATACCAAAATATGGGTAAGCAGAAGGGCAAGTGTCATGGTAGAGAAAATGTGGATGAGAAGTACTGTATAGAATTTGGAAAATGAGATGTCTAAGCCTGATGTGGCGTGAGGATGTGAACACATAGTCTGGGTCAGCCACAACAATATTTTATAATAACTTTTTAATACATTAATAATTATTTGAAATTGAACTATTTTCTAAGGAATTCACTATTTATTGCTTGTGAGGCAAAGGTAGTATTAGGGATATACTGTTGTTTGTGAGGCAAAGGTAATACTAGGTAAGGGTAAAAGGAAGTGAAGAGGAATTAATCATTAATCCAGATTACTGGGATGTAGGAGGAAGGAAGGGAGGAAGAAGAGAGGATGCAGCTGATGTTGATTTGTTGAGGCAAGGGTGATGGGGACAAATGGGAGGAACTGGAATGTGCTTGCTCTTGTGGATTTAAGTGGCTGTACCAGACTAGTGAATTCATGAATGAAGAGGCCAAAGCATAATAAATTTGTGTATATTTTAGACATTTTAAATGTTAATATTTTACTTCTCTCTTTCCCTATAAAATGTTGGGATGAGAAATGATGTTGATTAGTTTCTGTGAGATTTTCAGAAAAATTAATGTTTGAAAGAAAGAAACACAGGGACACAAGAGACAATACAGAAGATACCAAAATATGGGTAAGCAGAAGGGCAAGTGTCATTGGTAGAGAAATGTGGATGAGAAATACTGTATAGAATTTGGAAAATGAGATGTCTAAGCCTGATGTGGCGTGAGGATGTGAACACATAGTCTGGGTCAGCCACAACAATATTTTATAATAACTTTTTAATACATTAATAATTATTTGAAATTGAACTATTTTCTAAGGAATTCACTATTTATTGCTTGTGAGGCAAAGGTAGTATTAGGGATATACTGTTGTTTGTGAGGCAAAGGTAATACTAGGTAAGGGTAAAAGGAAGTGAAGAGGAATTAATCATTAATCCAGATTACTGGGATGTAGGAGGAAGGAAGGGAGGAAGAAGAGAGGATGCAGCTGATGTTGATTTGTTGAGGCAAGGGTGATGGGGACAAATGGGAGGAACTGGAATGAAAAAAGTTAGGCATATGTTCAAAGGATGTGACTAGAAAGATGGAAGGGATATTGAAATCTCTGATAATATTTTTTTACTAATCTCATGCAAGGTGTTACCAAAAGGTAGGCATAGATGGATAACTAGAATATCAAATTCAGTGTGCAGCATAACAAAATAATTATCTAATAAAGGCAGTCAGGTATGGTGAGAATAATTAATTATTTTTCATTTTATTTCAGGTGCTCTGAAACACTTATGTGCGTTACAGATTCTGTTGCTTCACAACAACCAGTTAAAAAAACTTGATAAAACAGTGAAGGAATTGAAAGGAATGATAAGCTTGCAGACCCTAAGTAATACCTTATTTTTATTTTGCAGAACAGTGAGCTGTAGTTTTTTAGTGTTTCTTATCAGGATGTTTCTTGTCTGTTTCCTCATCATTTGCCAATAGCTTTTGAAGCTAATTATCAATTTCAACCAAATTTGACAGAAGAAAGAGATCTCTAAGACATGAAAATTCCACAGAGAGTACCTCAACTAAGAAAAACCTGCCAAATAAGTTCAGAAGTTAACTCTTTTTGGCTGCTGGCTAGCCTGTCTCCTGGATGAGTAGCTTGGAGGCAGTCAAAGCAGTTTACTGCTACCTTTTTGTAAGGAAACATGGGAGTACAGTGAGATTATCGTAGAAGTGAAGGGAGTTGAGAAATGGGTGTTACTGCTGTTGAGAGTGTGAGTGATAGGTTATATAACCCAAATTCCTACCTCATTAATTCTGTTGCTTATAGAACTTACTTTCTGCATCTTTTTGGCAGGCTCTATGGATTTCTAGAGTCTTAAGAATAAATACACTTTAGCTATTAAGTATAACAATATCTGTTAAGTAGCATACTTTTTGATACACTGGCTGGAAATGAAAGTAGCATAGACTCTGAAATTTCAAATTAAGTTACACAAGACAGCACTGGCCCCACTAAGTTACAATGTAAGAAGTAGCCTCCAGGGAGAGTAGGATTATATGCTGTTAACCTGTTGAAAGTGAAAATGTAAGCAGTCTTTTTTCCATGGTACCTAAAAGAATGTTGTCATAGGTCATGCCAAATGCTCAGTAGTTTGAGAAAACAGGAAACAAGTTTCGCGTCTTAGTGACACAATTAATGGAGGTGAATGTCATCAAGCCATACCTCCTTATGCATTCAAAAAATTGAATGTCTGATTGCGGGAAAGGAAAATATGGCTTGAAAAGTACACTTTGAACTTGACACTGGGCCAAAATTAAAAACCAAATCAAATGTTTAGGAAGACAACATGCCTGCCAAATTTTTGTGATTTTTTTCATTATATGCAAGATCAAAAAAATAGTCCATTTAACAATGCAATTGTTTGAAGTGATTAGGCAAAGTCTGGACAGACATCGTATGTATGAATGGTGCAGTCACTTGAATTTAATGTTATAGCCCTACTAATTAATAAGGAGCTTCAACAAGCACAGGGAGTTTGTTGTACTTGTTGCAACCGTCTGTGGGAAATAAAGACAAACAGCAGATAGTTAAAGTGCTGCCGAGTTATTATGAATGGCAGTCACAAAGACATAGTGAAAATTGGGTGCATAGTGGACTGGCCATCACCATAGAAAAGCAAGTGTTTAAGAGAACTGTCAAACAATATATAGAATATACCAATCTACCCTGATAAAAAAATCGGGTTTTAGTTCGAAGACGTGAGAGTAAATGCTAATCAGTGGAAGAAACTTAATAACCTTAACTTTACAGTCATTCCTTTTTGACCTTTACAGTCATGAAAAAATTGCCAATGTGTTTGTTTCAAAGAGGTTTCATAATAATGAGTTCTCAAATTAACAGGTCTCTATTGGTTTAATAAAATGCACTGTCATATTTGAAGTAAATGACAGCAGTAAATGAACAAAATAAATTTTAAAAGTCATATCCTATGTATCATATCATATTACTATATCATTTGTTTGCCCGCTTGCAATATTAAGAAATGTGAAGTGGGTGCAGAATTAGCACTGTGTAGCTTTGAAAAGGCCTGTGCCCATAATTCACCTTTATAAAATAAAAACTGTTTTGGGAATAGGAGAGTTCTCATTGTTGTGAGGTAGATCTTTTTTATCGCTGGACAATCCGATTAAAAAAAGTAATTTGCTAGCTTTCAACAGAACTTCTGGATACATAATAACATTTTATTATTTTGTACCTCTTGGGGACATTAGAACTATTAAAATGGGGCAGTCTAATACACTATTATTGTTCACTTCAGAAGTGAACAATGCTACTTCAGAAGTAGCATCCATCTGCCAAAATGTTGCATTTCTCTTCCTTAAGGCTCTCTTGTGATTTTTAGCCACTGCCCGGCACTGGATTTGTAGCATAACACCATTCCTCATCAGGCCTTTAGAGAAGACACTCAGCTTCTGAAGATTTACTGAATTGGTTGCTCACAACTGCAGCCTTTTGGGAGATATGCAGGGTTTCTTCATGGGCTCATCTCGTGCTCACATCTCCCTTTTGGAATCCAGGATTTTTGTTATGTACCCTGTAAATTGCCTCAACTGATTTATTATCCACAGCTGATAACATCTTGCTGCTAGACCTCAGAAAACTCCTTTTGTTCTTCACTATGTTTTTACAGCAGTAGTTCCTTTCTGCCCTGTGTGGGATAGGCACACTGTTTTCCTACACTCCAAATAGAGAAAACAGACAAAACTGTGGAGGAAGAAAGCATTATTCCTGATTTGTAGAAGTAAAGTTGCATGACCTTGACAAGAAAGTAGATAGCAGAGCCAAGAATTGATCCCAGATGTTTTGTAAAATAAGACCATCTTGATCCATACAATGGTTGGATTTATTGTAAGAACGAGCAGCAGAAAAATTCATATGCCCTAAAACAAAACTACAAATCACTGTTGATGAGGAGGGATGTGCTCCTTGTAGCATCCAGATTCAGAAGTACTTACTATCAACCCCGGTTTGTGCCTTGGAAAAATCTCTCTTGAATCTTCATTCCATTCCACTACTGCTTGAGACACCAAACGTACCTGCTTTTGGAGATCTTTCTGAAATAATTTTCTCTCTGGAATGCTATCACATATTTTCTTGACTCAAGAACAGACTTATCAGATATATACCTAACATTCTTTCTGTTAACACTTTCTAGAAAAAATAGCTATATACTACTTTGTTTGGTAAAAATGGAACTTCCTTTTGTTGCCACCGTGTGGGTCTCTTACTACTTCTAAGTACAGTGTTTTTTTAAAACTTGTTAAAGAATTAAAATATTTTAAGTTCTCCTCTGAATACATGAACAAGCATTTTCTGTGTAGGAGATACCAAATGTCCATTCCAGCCTTACTGCGCCCTCAAAATAACTGCAAAATCGCATCAAACACTGAGCCCTCTTTGGCAGTCATACTTATCCTGAAGAACAAGAAATGACATCTTGTAGTTTACAAATCTGTGTGGAATATTTCCAGACTTTTTTCTTCTTCTAGTATCTCTTATTTGCTTCTGTAATACCATCTTGTCCTCCCTAACTGCTAAAATGACATTAACAGAGGATTTTTTTGCCCTAGAGTGAATATTAGCCACAGCCTCTCCTCATAGAGAAAAACAGGCCAGTGTAGAACTTGGTGGAAGTTGTCAAAATTATTAATTTAAGATTTGTTTTCCCTGCTCTGATCTCAAGGTAGCAGCCTCCTGATTATTTTTACTTTACTGTCCCAGAAGAACAGAATTTGTATGATGAGAAAAATAGCATTATTATGTTTTTCATTCAGGAAAAAAACCAGCCAACAACACTTGTTTGTTTGTTTGCTTGTTAGCTGATTTGGGAATGAGCCAGCTTCTATTTTAATCAACCTCAGATACCACTCTCATGAAACAAACTGATCTGGCATGTCAGCTAGGCAAGTGTTCCACATCTGGCAAAGCAGTAACACAGCATTGATGCCTGTCTCTGTGTTGCAAAGGTTTGATTATTCAGGTAATGTGAACCTGAACATAAGTATTTTAGTTGAGTTGCTAATGGGCTTTTGGAGCTTAGTACCTCAAGTCTCAATGAAAGTTAGTGGGATCCAGGTTCGCAGGAGCTTAGGCCCTTTTAAACATTTTACTCTAAGTTTCTTGAGTTTTCAAACTCATCATCTGTCAAAACATCAGAAGACTGGGTATTTACATTTTATGTTGTGTCTATGGGATAAAACCTTTGTATCAGCTATGATAAAGCCTTAGGTGTCCTAAAGCTCATCTGGTTTTAATAACTCTCTCCCCCTACAAATTTTGTGTCTTACCTTTAAGCTGTCACACCTAAAAGACTACTATTATTTAAAATAGGCATCACCTAACAATACGTAAGAAAATCAAAGGCAAACACTTAGTGGTTTTGTCTGTATATCATAAAAAAATAGAAAAAAAACTTCAAAGTTTTGGAGTGCATGATGGCACCTTTACTCAGTTCTTGCCTGTGGTATTTTGCATACTCTGCAATAAGCCAATTCTTGCAGTCTGTGTTTAGTTGAGTAATTTTGCATGTGTAAAGAGACTGTGCTTTGTTTACCTCGCATAAGAACAATTTGAATTTGATAATATTTTGTACAAAATCTTTGGCTACTAGTGATCTTTAGTTTTCCTGCCTTGCTAAGTTAGTTGTTTTGCTGGGTTTGTTTTTTTGTGGTGGTGTTTGTTTTTTCTATATACGTTTTGCAGACCTGTTCCATAACCCTCTGGCACAAGACCCAGACTACCGGCTTTATGTGATATACTTCCTTCCTTCAGTACAGCTCCTTGACAGGAAGTGTAAGGATTGCTTTCCTCTTCTCACAAAGCATTGACAGTTGCTTTTGATTTTAATCAGTTTGGAAAAATAGGTGAATTAATCTTGCCTGTTCTTTTACCTGCACTTGTTGATGTAGCAAAAGATCTAATTAACAGATACCCATTTCTTGCAAGATTTGTCAAGCAAATAGATTTTGCATGGCATAAACAGTTTACTTTGCCAAATGCTTTTGGTTTCTCTCTTTTTCTATTTAAATTGTGTATGTGTATGTTCATCTTGTATCTTGGTCTACATATTTTTGGGTAAGACAGATAAAAGCCCGTGCTTAGAAACATGTGCCTACATTTGTGCATTCAAACTGGTATATTCACATGGGTGAGCGTGTTTACTTAGATATGGATAATAACCTCAGCTATCTACATGTTTCTGTACAGTTTAAATATGTATATGCACATTTCTTGATGAGGTACATGCTGACCAACTTTTCAGATATAAATCTTCATAAATCATCAAGAGATCTTTCACAACTTGTCTACTGTAAATTCTACAGAAAAAAGAATTGTTGTAAGAATAGCCAGATGATAAATCAGTCAATCCATAAACATGCCACAGCGGATCCAGAAAATCAACCTTGGTGATTTTTGTCTCTGGTGTTTGGAGAGCTATGTGATTGGCAGGAGGACTGAAAATTACTGGAGAGCACTGGGAAAGGTGTTGATTCCTACCCCAGCTCTACCTTGTAAGAAAGTAGTGAGGAGAAACAATGTAATCTTGAAAACCTGCTCCCAGCCTCTAGAAGAACCCGGATGCAGGACTTGAGCAAGGCAGCCATGGGACATCTGCAGGTGCTGGCAGACTGCGTAGCTCTGTCATGAAGGAAAGCTGGTGGATGGGCCACAGCATGTGTCAGGGGTCGATGAGGAGCTGCTGGATCTGACCACATGTCCATTTGCTTACACATTCATTTCTCACTGGTACCTCCAGTCTCTTGAATATTTGGTCTTGTGTTACACCTGTGCTTGGTGGGTCTGTCAGACTGTTTTACTAATGATCGTTTTTGACTAGGGAGTGATGACTGAAGCTTAATGTGCTGGAAAATACGTGTTGCATTTACAGCTCTAGAAACACTTCCATAAAAATTCCTGGACTTAATCTCCTAAATACAGTTATACTGTAATCAGTCCTGGATTAAGACTTGAGGCATTAATTTGTGTCAAGCTGTACCCGGACTTCCTATTTGGTGAACTATTTCTCTAACATTACAAAGCTTCTTCACCATCTGTGGAACATTACCACAGCATAGTCCTGGCTGTCTCCTTTACATAAGACATGTGCTCACACTTCTGTTACCTCCAGGCATGACTACTGCAGTTCCTTCCTAATTGGTCCTCCAGACACCATGACTTAAAAACTTCCCTGAATTCAAAATGCTTCTGTTCTAAACCTTTAGCTCACTTCTGTTCCATAGCTGAAGTACTAGATTAGTATGCAGTTCATGTCGTTGAAGTTAACATCCCCTATTTGACTTAACAACCTCAAACTCTTTGTTTAAAACTTAAAGTTATTTTTGAATTAAAGTGCAAAACAGGAAAATTTGAGGCTTTTCTTTTGATTGCACTCATACGGTTTTCTCTCTAATTGAGCGATGGGAATTGAACTGGCCTTGAACTAGGACTTGTTTTTGCTATTCACAGAGAAACTTCCAAATCTTTACTGACTTCTGCAGTGGATCTCATTTAAGCAGTATGAAAAGCCTTGCTTTCTAGTTTCTTGGTTTAGAACTTCTGATCCTACTGCACCCAAAAGAAAAAGCTTATTGGATAGCACTTCACCCTAAAGCCTTAGGAAGTATCACTCCATGTTCCCATTTTGAATCGTTGTGAAATTACGCAGATTTACACCGCTGCTGTTACAAAACTCAGCACAAAAAAAGTGAATCACCTTCTGCATGCAGATAGATATTACCAGCCTTCTAAGTTGCTTGGAAAAATAAAAATTTTATATCCCTTTTAACAGCAGTTACACAAGGAGAGAGGGAGTCAGCGCTTCATCTTTATAACCGTGAAAGGTCTTGTGTTGTGCAGTCAATAGCTTTTGGAAAGAGAGTAAATACACCCCTGGGGACTGCAGTGGGATCTAGCAGATGCACTCAACCAGCCAGAAGACTGATGATGCCCTCAGGTATTTATAATAATGTAAGGAAAAGCATACATTTTTAAGTGATTTGGATTAGAAAAAGTTCTTTTCACTCATCTGATAAAAAGTTACTGGTTTTAGTAATAAAGTATAAACGCATCAGGAACTCAACCAAATGGCTTCATGCAGTAAGTAGTAATAGCAGCAACAGGCAACAAATGAATCTACTAAGAGTATTGTGGTAAATAAGTTCTAGTAACTCCCTCTGGTTACAAAATTGTCTTTAAAGATAGCTGAATAAACAAAATTTCATTTTTTTTCAATATGTGTCTTGTGAGTGTTTAGTTTTAGTTTTATTTAATTAAAAACATCTCAATACACTTTTAAGCTGTCTCAGACAGTGATCAGCATCATAGAGTTTTGATGCCCTCTAGTGCTTTTATGAAATAATCTCCTGAAGAAAGTATTTTCTTCTAAATAATGTTTTAAATTTTAGATACCTTGCCTAGTTTTGCAAGCAGATTCCTTTTTATGCTTTCCAAGCTGAGAATATTTTAATGATGTCTTATAATAGCATCTAAAGTAATTTTTAGAGTTCTTACAACATTCAGATCTGGAAGACAGCATGATCCTGGCACAAGAAAGCAGGTGAATACCACCTGGAACCTTGTGACTTGTACCATATGACAATCCAGAACAAACCTTGAAATCCCACACAATCTGATCTGCTTTTTTGGCTTTTTAAAGATAAGAAAAACAATATTGTGCATATATGACTGAAATGGTAGCATTTTAAACAGTAGTGTAGATGAAATTTGGAACAGTAATAAAATAACTGATTTTTTTTTTAAATGTATATATCACAATAGTAAACCTGAAAGTGTGTTTAACAGCAATTTGGAAAAGGTTGGGAAAAAAGAGATCATTTAATCATACTTAATAATGTAATTGTTTTACTGATAATTATCAAAGTAGGCATACAATTGTCTTTACTTCTACCATGCAGTCATTCACATACATAGACAGTGGCATCATTTTTCTGTGAAAGAAAAAAAAATGCGTGGAAATATATGTCTACAGGAAATAAAATACAAGAACTACATAAACTTAAAAAAAATCCCAACAGATACTTGTTTCCACAGTAATTTAATAAAAGATGATCTTGAACATTTCAAATCATCTGCTAGTTTGCAGTTCATTTGAACAAGTTATTTAGGATCAGGATGGTAATCCTCAGCTAATCAAAGTGCTGTACAGCCATTAATATCTTAATTTGTACTTCTTGTTATAGGTTATGAATTTGGAAATCACACAAATAAGTAAGTAACTTTTTGGACTTTTTTTTTCTTTTGCATCTCTGAAGTGTTTACTTAATTTTCTCTTCTCATGCCTAAAAAATACCCTAACCAGAGAAAACGTCCAGTAAAAATGAGCTTTTGAAAAATTTTCTGTCTTTTGTGTTTTAACATAGTTGCAACTCTTAGTTGCAACTCTTTACTATTCTGATGAGACAACCTACCTGCTGCTGTCTGAAATTTAATATTGAAAGGTATTCCACATTTGGAAATGGGTATATAAAAATGCTATTTATTTATAAGATCAACTACTGATCACTAGAAAAAGTATGCTTTAAGTATTAGAGCATCAGAATAGCTGTTCTATATTATGGCCCAGACAACTTTCTCCTCACTGGCTGTTCAAAAACACATACTCTCTGGAAAATATTACTGACTTGTAGAATGAAACTTTTTTAGTCTGTACTTCATGTTACTTTTATTCTGTTTGGTTTAAAAATCACAGAAATAAATGTAAAACTTACCTCTGTTATCTCTGTGTCTGGACTGAGGTAGTATAAAGGTTGCATTTTGATGTGATGACATTTTTAGATGCTATCTTTATAAAAGTAAATTTACAAACTTCAGATTTCAGGCTTGTTTATACTTTCTAGCTTTACCTATGAAAATATTTCAAAGATTTATTAGAGAAAATAATAAAAGCCTACATATGATGATATCCTTTAACAATTTGATTTTATATAGCTACTCACTTTGAGTACAGCTCTTTACAATCAAGCTAATTTATGTTTAAAAATGAATTCACACTGCTTTCAGTGGACTTAGCTGTCCTCACTGATACAATGGATGCAGAGCTTCCTCTCCATCTTATTTATGTAGATGCTTGGGCTTTGCAAGGTACCTGAGCATGCGACGAAGTGTGTTATACTCAGTGGAAATAGTCACATAGTTTATATCAGGTGTGTGTTGCTACAGGTACATCTTTATGAAATAAGTTCTTATACGATCAGATTTTAATATTGTATCGGAGTTAAAAGGTTTTGGTCTAACATGACATCCTTGTCGGTTCTGCATTGACGTTGTGCGTCTGCCATTTTTCTCTCCCAGACTGCAGCTGTGGCAGGATACATGAAAAACACAAGCTCACAGTGTTCTGCATTCAGAGCTTGGAGAAAGGATATTTGCATGGTGGCTGGTTAAAAGATCCACGGTGAAATAAATGTGCATTTGCATGAATGAGTATTATATCACTATGAAATCATAAAATTAGTTTTATGATTTCTATTGAATCAGAGCATTAAAAGTATACAACAATTATAATTTTTGTGGGAAAAAAAAAGCAGTGAAAACAAAATAAGATTTTTAAGTCTACTATAAATGTATTTTAAAAAATTTATAGCATGATTTTTTTTTCCTTAGAATCCTGTGATTCTGACCTTTTCTCATTTTGTTTTGCTTTCTTAAATTTGGTAAAAGAAGGAAACCTTCTGAAAATTTAAAATTTTCAAATCCTCACTGTTAGTGTCATCATGACTTCTAACTTCACTTTCTACACAGAGTGCGTGTGGTAAATCAGCTCCAAAGTAGTTTGGAATCATCCAGATAATGCGCATTTGCTTTGTTCTTTTTGCAGAATACCATTTGAGAACTCCGAAGATGCCGTTTTACTACGGGCAATGACAAGATCTCTAATGGAATTTTCCTCTGTTGACTGGAACAAAGTAGCCACCTGTCGAGAAAGACGGCTTGAAAACAAAGTAGAAGAACCCCGTGAGAAGCTGACAGTCCAATTTAGATGAGCGCTTTCTTCCTTAAGAAAAAATTATTCCTCTCTCTAGTGTGGAGATAAGCCTTTTAAGTAAGTTAATATCTCTATAGAACAAGTACACTAAAACATGCATCTAATTAAATGAACTTCCAGCAAAAAAAGTATTAGTGTAACATTTCTTTTATCATCAGATATGTAATATGGAGAGTGAAGAAATTAAGAAAACAAATGATAAATAGTGGCAATGTTTCAATGAAAGTTGCTTGAAATGCAATTCTTACCATACTTTTGTTATCAGAAATTATTAAAGCTAAACTGCAGTTAATTTTTAAGAAACTAAGGATAAAGAATTTCATTCCTTATAGTTTCTACTGGAGAATTAGACTTACCGTGTTCACTAGCAGTAATTTGTCTTCCTCCATCAAAATAAAGATATGAGAAAGCAACCATTAAGCTTTTCTCATTTCTGAGAGGGATTAAAGTTTCAATTTGCTAATTTGTGTGCTGCACAAATGCGCTGAAAACTCTTAGTTTTATGAGGATACTCATATGGTCTCAATACAGTGCAACCATGAGCTCTTAAGCATGCTGATATCTAGCTGTTGTCTGTGGCTGCTAATACTCTCCCAGGATGCAGGCTTCTGCTTACTGGTCCTTTTGGAGAGACGGGACTTGCCGTACACGATGCACTGCCCCAAGACTGCTGACTGGTTTTAACACACTCTCTTTTATAACCGCGTGGGTCATACAATGCTGTAGCACTACACCTGACACTTTTGGCTTCTAAAGCCAGTTAGCACTAAGGAAGCTAGTGGGAGATCTGCATATAGATGGAAAATAATACGTTTCCTCACATCTTTCTCCCTCCATTCTGCCACAGGCTTAAAGCCAACGCTACCTGACATATGTAGGCCCTTCTTCAGCCTGTGACTTGTCTTCTGAGTTCCTTCTTGCTCTCCTAGGTTAGCACAGAGTCATAGGACAGGCTAGGTTGGCAGGGATCTCTGGAGCTTACCTAGTCCAACCTTCCTGTTGAAAGCAGGGTCTGACATTAGGTTATCCAGTGCCCTGTCAAGTTATTGATTAGGTTATCCAGTGTCCACTGTCTCTTTCAGTGTTTAATTGCATTCCAGAGTGTTTTTCTTATATTCAGATGGAATTTCACTTGCAACAACTTGGGCCTGTTGGCTATTGTCCTGTCACTGTGCATCCCCCATCTTCTCTGTAACTACCTCTAGGTATTGTAAGACTGTGATTAGATCTCCCCAAATCTTCTTTTCTCTGGGCTGAACAAACCGAATTCCTCCAACCCTCTCATTGTCATGATGGCACCCTCGCTGGACCTCTCTTGCTTTTTAATGTCTCTCTTGAACTGAGTTGACCAAAATGGGACACTATTCCAGGTGTGGCCTAGCAGCTGCCAAGTCAAGTGGAATAATTCCACTTTTGATCTGCCGGCTGTACTATACTTTTGTCTTCACCGGTGCATGGCACCATTTACCTTTGGCGCTGCCAGGGCATACTGCTGACTCCAGGTGAGCTTGCTGCCCACCAGGACCCCCAGGTCCTTTTCAGCAGATCCCAGCCTGTACTGCTGCGTGGGATTACTCCATCCCAGATACAGAACTTTATCTTTGTTAAATCTCGTAATTCCTTTCGCCTTTTTGGTGTTAGATTCCTTCCTTTTTGATTTCAACTTCCCTATTTTTTCTTGCTTAAAGTTCCATGCATTTTGTAAATGCCCTTAAATTAGCCGCATCTTTGTGGTTTTAAAAGGTAGATCAACACCTTGGTTTCGATTAGGTTTCAAGAATGTTTAATTTCTCATATGGAATCAGTCTACAGGGAAGTTAGACCAAACTAAGCTTCGGCTAACATGTTTTCTTAAAGAGGTCCTCCCTAAGTAACTGTCCATTAGGATTTAATAAGTGTAATCCCTGGTTTGTCTTGAGTCTTTTGAACTCTGACAGCTGACTCTGCTCATGGACGTAGTCTATGATGTAATCATTTCATAGCAGCAATTTCACAATCCCAGAATCTGTAGATTTTATGTCAGACACGGAAAAGGCTGAATTTAAGAGATTTTTCTCTGAAAGCAGACTGTATCCCACCTGGAACTTGGAGCTAGACTAAGGTAGTAAGCAATGTCATTTCAGAGTAAATTTCATTGATTTCAAATTTTTGGATCAAATTAGAGGCACAGTATTTCTGGCCTGGAATATTTTTCTGCCCCTGTCTTCTTTTGATTAAAGAAAAATTAAAGTGAAATGAATTTTTTTCAATTTTCTGCTCAAAGAATGCTGCAATGCAATATTTCAACATAAAGAATTTTATTACAGAATCTTTTTTAACAACTAATCTAACATTTTCCCCAAACAATATAGATTTTGAAAAGAAAATATACATTTTACAGGAGTAGCTGTTAAAGAATTTTAGCATGACTTCTTGCAATCTTTTTGAGCATATAGATGGGCTCAGAGAAGACAATGAGTTAATTTATACATATATAATCTTTGATGGTGAAAAGTCCATCAAAACCTCTTAGATTTTTTGGCCCTCCCACTGTTGCACGCAAGTGTCCCAGGAATACACAGATTAAACAAAAAAAACCCTACTGTGGCATCCAGAAGCTCTTCATTGTAATGTTTGCTACCTGTTCACATTTGTAGTGTGTAAATGTTGGATGCTGTCCAACAAGCCACAAGTCAGTAGAATCACCGACTGCCAACATGTCCACCTTGCTTAAAAGGCAGTGCTTTCCATATACTCATCCATTTAAGCTTTGTCAAAAGATTTGAGTCTGTTTTAGAGCCATTAGTGAAAAAGGAATGTTAGCTATTTATATACAAAGAAATACTCAAATTACAAAGGTAATTTCAAATTTTGCTGAGAATTCCCTTTAGTTAGATGACAAAAAACCTAGAAAATCTACCTGCATCAAAAATCTAAAGTGATTTGAACATGCAACATTTAGTTCACTAGAAGATATGCTCATATAGTTTCAGAAGCTTTTATATATTCCTAATTCAATCAAATTTCCCAGGGTGAAAACAGAGTTGATATTAAAAAACACTTGGCATAAAAGTAAACTAGGGAGCAAGAACTGTGATGAAGCAAGCTAGACAGATTCACAGCTGCTCTGCTCTTATATGCAGCAAAACAGCTGAAGTGAAAATTCCATTTTTCCTAGTGGAGGGGAGAAAAGTCTTTTGAATCACACCCCCTTGAAGGTGCAAGAGTCTGTCTGTTGGCTTTGCACTCCGCAGCTGTCTTGTCACTTAAAACCTTGCTTAAGGAATCAGTAAATTGCGTATGGATTTTCATCCTACTTTAAGTTCCTTATAAGTAACGTCATGAGATGTTTCCTCCAATTCGTGATTATGCATGAGCTAGTCGTTACCCCAGGTTTATGCAGGACCTATCAACCATGATCTTCCACCAGAAGAGCTGTCGCCAGCTCAAGCTGAGGAAGGCAGAGGTAGCTCTGGAGCGCCAGCGTGCACCGGGACCCTAACTTGGATTGCAATTGCTCTCCTCTGAGGCTCGCTGCAAAGAGAGGGAAGTGTGGCAGCCTCTGCTCATAATGACTTTGAAGCCTTTTCAAGTTAGAATGAGAACAAACGCAACTGCATAATCTGCGTCAAAGATCCCACACTTCACACCTATTTCCAATGTTCATACTTTCTCCTATCATCGCTTGGGCTTTTCTTCTTTGTCAAGGAAAAGCATTGGCTGGCAGAATGAAAGCAGGATTTGTGCTGTGGATTTTACCACACTTCTAAAATCCTGAATCATTTGTCCTAAAGGGCTCGCATTTTCAGAGAAATCTTAAAGAGCAACACATCTCAGTGCGCCCCAAATGCTACGTGTAGAATAGGGAACCAGCAGCGCTTCTGCATTCCCAGATCCAAGAGTGGACGGTGACTACATCGTGACTCCGTATCTAAGTTCCAGGCACGCATCTCTTGCTTGCCAATTGTCATGAAATTAAACTTGTACACCTGAGCTACAGGAGGCCCATGCGTGTCAAATGGGAACATCACCGTATGTCCCAACAGGCGTTACAGATGCAGTAAACAGAATTGTCACGCAGCTCCCTTCTTCTAAAAAACTTCCCTTTATTCTTCACAATTTACTAATCCTTGAAATTAAAACACAGATACATTCCCTGCACAGGTGCATTTATGTGTCCTCACTCTTACAGTTTTCAGAATATTAAACAAAAACTTTCAATATATTAAATAGTAAAAAATTAATAGCATTTTTCCTCCGTTTCCTCTGAGGATGGTCCTTACTCCTCTAAGTTGAAGGATATTGCCACGTTCAAAACACCAATTATTCATCCAACAATTAGATAATCTCAAATTTTGCCATCCTTATGCAGCAAGCAATATTTTCAGTTGTGGCATTCCCACTGATTTCATGAGACACAGTAGTAAATCTGAGTAAAAACAGCATAGTTAAGGGAAACTATTTTCTACATATGGTATTTAGTTGAAAGCCTAGGTGAAATCCCAGTTATATCAATGCACACATGAATTCTCCCATTTAATTCACTGTGACCAGATTCAGCGGGAGCAATATTAAGCATCTTTTATGTTTATGAAATAATTCATAAGCAACATCCCAGTGTGCTCTGAGGCATCTTTACCTGAAAGCTGAGATTTAAAAACCATTATTCTTGTCAGTCAAAATACTTTAAATCATTCTGGTTCTTCCCTTCATTAGACTTTGACAAACTTGGAATATTTTTGACTAAACCAACAGTGAAATAATTCTGTTGAAACACACATTTCACAGTCAGCTTGAGACATCTGAAACAGCAGTATCATTTAATAAAATTGCCACAAAATAGACACTATTGGTGTGCACTCACTAGTCAAAAATATTTACAGTAATGTCATGAAAAGTTGAGAGTTCAGATGAATATCTTCAGAAACTTAACTGCTACTGAATTCCTTCAGATAAAGCTTCATAAAGTGGTGTAAAAAAGCAATTTAACAGTTGGCTTCCCAATGCTTTTAACTACAGTTCTGTGTACTTGCAGAAAAAATTATTTAAATTAGAATTAAAATAGATTTTACGTTCTGAAAATATGAATAATCCAAATCAAATGCTTTTTATTTTTCACTAAGTGGCTGATTAACCACAGATACTCACAGATTTTTACTATGCTTACTGTTGGTATACGTACAGATGGATCTATGCCACTAGTTTTTATCAGATAATAAATACCTATTTTGACAATCTACAACAGAACCTGAAGTATTTATAGACAAATTAGCCAAGATTTCATCTCAACATGAACAGAGACATGCTGTCTTTCAAAGGGAGTCTTGCATAACCCATGCTGTAAGAACTCAGACATGGTCAGCATAAAAAATTCTTTAGGACCCTTGAGGTACAGGAACGTAGCCAGAACACTTAGTCCCTTTCTACCCTCTTCTTACTCCTCAGAATCTTGAATTTTTTGGAGAGCAATGTCAGCTAAACCATTCTCACTTTCCAGTGGACTTTCAGGATGCAGGGCTAGTGCCTCTGTCTCTTTGGTACATTCAGGTTCTTCCGTTTGGTCAGTAGCATGATTTGGATCCACTTCTTTGGTAGCATCTGGACCAGGATCTGACTGTTCTTCACTTGTAGAACTACCCTCTACTAGTTGCACTTCATCTAAACAGAAGAGAAATCGCATCATCAGTAAACACTGAACTCATCTGCAAGCAAACATTTTTATTGTTGAAGAGTAATAAACAGTAGGAAAGTTTGCATCAATTACAAAAGTGATTAATTTAACCAAGCTTCATCAAAAAAGACCTAAGACACTAGAGTTCTGCTTAAGTTGGTGTAAGACTACTCTGAAACTAACCCTACACAAAGCTCTCAATAATTTATCTTCAATTTTGCCATACTTGCTTTTAATATGTAGAGGAGCAGAGTAGGACACTACAGTTGTTTTAACTTTCAATTCAAACATGCTTTATTGACACTACTCTTACAGTTAGCTTTTCAAAGAATGGCTGCAGGCTGGTTAAACACAGAGTACAGGTGGGTTTTGTTTTTCTTTAAAAAAAAAAAAAGGCATGTATGTGATTACGTAGGAAACATTTTTGCACATAACAGACTGAAGAAATTATTTGCTAATGAACAGTTGACCACAACGAACTTTAGTTGAAGAGAGTCATCCTAAAATTTATAACCTGACTGCATGGAACGGAATCAGCTATTGCACCTTTACTTTTCAAGCAATGTTTTCAGAGAAAAAAATTGTTAACTTTTTGCCCTGATTCTGCTAAGTAGGGGTTGTATGCTAGCAATTCTGAAAAGAAAGAGGGGAAAGCCTAGTTGGGGGCCCTGGCACCTTCAGAAGGAGTTCATCTTGGTTTCTTATTCTCTGTTATGATAGCCATCTGAAAACGCTGTCACAGCTAGCCACAACACTGCCAAAGCCCTGCCAAGGTCTCATTTGGCTATGGAGGTAACTGCCTTAAGCACAGGCTGAACACTCACCCTTGTACAGTGGAAACTCTTAAACTCTTGGTTTTGCTTGTAGTTGCAGCTGTGGGAT